CCTACAATACATGAGCTATCTTTGAACAAAGGCTTATCTAGTTAGTGCTTACATTTCTACATCACATATACAGAATCATTCTTTTCTAAATTCAAATCAAATCCATTTTCTCTAAAATTCCATGAAAATTTGAAAGTTAGTTAAAAAAACCCACTTATCAGAGAGCAATCTAGAAGTGATTCACTATATAAAACAACCAACGCACAAGCTAAAGTGAAAGAGCACTACTCTGCAAGACACCAAAAACGATATTCAGAGTATTTTCTATTTAAGCATGTAAATGGTCACTGCTGTTATTTCCCTCTAGTAACTGAACACTACTTCCCTTACATAATGCATTTCCTGAACTTTTTTTTTTTTTTTTTAAAGCTGGTTTCCTGGTATAGCAATGTTATTCTAATTGCAAAAATGTTCTGTATAATATTCTGAATGGCAAAAGTAAGACTTAAATCTTTTGAAAATAGTTCCCTAGAAAACAATTATATTGCCTGTAAATCAGCAAAATGAAATTTTTTATACAGTTCTGAGCATTTATTCAATGTTAAGGTTAACACAGACTAATTTCAGAGAAGGTAGTTTAGTTGTTTTACCTCGTTTTATGCATCAAAGAACATATACGTATGAAAGATCTATAGCAGGGTAAAATTTAACTCTGGTATGTGCAAGTAAAGCTATGATTTGCAGGTGACACTGGGCAGGTCTACATGAGATGCTAAAAGTGCAGTAGACTAATTCTACTGCATATTAGCATGTCACGGCTGTGCTAATGCATGAGAAAGCTGCGCTAATATGCAGTAGAATTAATCTACTGCGCATTAATGTCACATAAACGACACGTGTTGGCACTACTGTGCAGTAATGCTGATGACGGAGTGTTAAGTTAATACCTGTTATTACAGGTATTAAAAACTTAAGGCACTGTAATTACAGCAAATTAATACATGTGTAGACATGCCCATTCCCGTTGATACAATCCAGTGTGCTGTTGGGTTTTTTTGCAACAAGAGCACACTGATGGCTCATATTTAACTTAGAGTCTACTGTAACTCCCAGGTCCTTCTCTGCAGTACTACAGCCTAGCCACTCATTCCCCAGTTTTCTTGTGCCCAGTGTAGGACTTTGGACTTGTCCTTATTAAATCTCATCTCATTGATTGAGGACCATTTTTCCAGTCTAGCTGGGTCACTATGAATCCTAGCCTTGCCCTCCAAAATATCTGCAACTATACCCAACTTGGTGTCATCCACAAATTTTCTAAGTGTGCATTTAATCCCATCATCTAAAACAATAATGAAGGTGTTGAATGATGTCGGACTCTGGACAAACCCCTGGGGAACCTCAGTTGATAGTGGGATCAACATCTCCGCCAAAGAAGTTTAATTTTTTTTAGAAGAGATTTACATCCCAGATGACCACACTACTATGAGACAGAAAAACAGAGGACAATCACCTAGAACAGGAGTGTCAAAGATGTCATTTGGCCCCCATGCTGCCCCTGGGTCTGAGGTGACACATATACTACTGCTGGACTGGTCCTACACACAGGGCTCAAGACAAACAACATGTTGTGCCCAGTCTAGGATCCACACTATATGTGGCACCTGTTCCAGGATATATACTGCTTGCGGTGGCCACTCTAGCCGATTTGAGACCCAAGCTGCATGGCTTGTCCCAAAGCAGCTAAAGTGGGCACTGTGATGCAGTCCCAGACTGGTAGGGGGGATGGGAGGAGGGAAGGGATGAGGCATGTTGCAAACACTGGATCCATCATCAGGTGGGAGGGGGCATGAACCAAATCCAGCCCATGGACTGGCCCAACGTCACTCATCCAGCCCCAAGTTTGACACCCTTAACATAGCACATGGGAGATCCAGAGAAAAAAAGTTCCACCTTTGACCCTCACTTTCCCATGTGTCAGGTGAGTGCCATAACCAGGGGACTGGGTATCTTATTCCATAGTTTCCTAGTAGCTAGGGTCAGTAGGGACCTGATCAGATCATCTAGCCTGCCCCCCTGCCACAGGCAGGAATGAATGCTGGGTTCACAAGACCCCAGGCAGGTGATCGTCCAACCTCCTCTTGAATTTGCCCAAGGTAGGGGCAAGGACCACTTCCTTGGGAAGTTGGTTCCAGATTTTGGCCACCCTAACTGTAAAATATTGCCTTCTGATCTCTAACCTAAACGTATTCTCCACCAGCTTATTATCATTGTTCCTCGCCACCCCAGGTGGTGCTGGGGAGAAAAGGGCTCCACCTATTTGCTGTTGATCTCCCCTGATGAGCTTGTAGGCAGCCACCAGGTTCCCCCTCAGCCTCCTCTTGCTGAGGCTGAACAGGTTCAGGTCCCTCAGTCTCTCCTCATAGGGCCTGTCCTGCTGCCCTCTCACCAAGCGGGTGGCCCTCCTCTGAACCCTCTCCAGGCTGGCCACATCCCTTTTGAACTGTGGAGCCCAGTACTGGACGCAGTACTCCAACTGTGGCCTGACCAAAGTCGCACAGAGGGGGAGTATCACCTCTCTGGACCGGCTTGAGATGCATCTTCGGATGCATGACAAGGTATGGCTGGCCTTGCTGGCTGTGGTCTGGCATTGGCGGCTCATGTTCATCTTGGAGTCAATGATGACTCCAAGATCCCGTTCCACCTCTGTGCTTTCAAGAAGGGAACTCTCCAGCCTGTATGTATGCTGTGGATTCCTTCTCCCAAGGTGCAGTACCTTGCATTTATCTACATTGAACCCCATCCTATTCTCATCTGGCCACTTTTGTAGTCTGTCTAAATCTATTTGCAGCCTCTCTCTCCCTACAATGTGTCCACCTTGCCCCACAACTTAGTGTCATCAGCAAACTTGGACAGCGTGCTTTCCACCCCCTCATCCAAGTCATTGATGAAGATGTTAAACAGTGCGGGCCCGAGGACCGAGCCCTGGGGTACCTCACTGCTTACATCTCACCAGGTTGAGTACAACCCATCCACCATTACTCTCTGGGTGCGCCCCATCAGCCAATTTTTGACCCATCCAACTGTGTAGGTATCAATGCCACAGTTGCTTAATTTACTAATGAGGATGGGGTGAGAGACGGTGTCAAAGGCCTTCTTAAAGTCTAGAAAAACTAC